CGTATTTACAAAAATCGTCACGTTTATAGACGCACAAATATACTTAAATTTCTTTTTAAAATACTGAGGTTATCTGAATTGTATTAAGCTTTACCAGTTATGATTATTAAATATAGTTTTTAATTAATAATCATATCACCAGACCACGACAAATTAATAAACAATTTTAAAAGATTTAAATCTTTATAAATTACGATAACTGATATTTAAAAAATATAGTTCCCATAATATATTTTATTTATAAAAGAAGCTAAAAGATTTTCTAATTAAATAATAATTGAGATATATTGAATTTTTTATTTTATGATTCAGAGCAGATTTTCGGTAAAAAAAAGCAATTCATGATTTTTCTTCTTCTTTGACATGTCCTTATAACTAATGTCCTTATAACTAATGTTCTTATAACTAATGTCCTTATAACTAATATAAATATTAGGCGTTACGAAAATGAATTTATCGAAATTTCAGAAAATAAATAAGGGGTAGGAGTAAAAAGATTTCACCAAGATTTTCGAAAAAAAGCAATATTTCTAAAATAATTTAATTCATTTGCGAACAATTCCTGAAAGTTTCATTAAAAGTTGACAATTATCTGCTTTTGGCAAAAGTTTCCAAATCACCAAATGTTTTTCACAGCAAAATGACGGTCAGATTCCCATACTAATTTATGGTCACCTATTGACGCAAGAAAAACAATAAAAAACAAAAATAACTAAAATTTAAAAGTTTCTAAAAAAGAAATTTTAAAAAATATAAATTATATAATACAAAAACCCTTTGTTCTTTCATAATATTTTGACGATAAAACTTTATTTTTGGTATTTTTCATCCTGTGCACATTTTTTTAGTGAATCTTTGGAGGTAACTAATAAATATTTTTGTCTTATTGGTCGATCAGATTAGGGAATTTTCAGCCATTCCTGTCATCTATCTATCTATCTATCTATCTATCTATCTATCTATCTATCTATCTATCGTGTGAGTGTGTGCAATGTGAAAAGAAGTGAAAGATAGAAAGAAAAATAAAAGATATACCAGCACCAAATAACCCTTTTCAAAGGATCAAACTGTCGACTTATAACCTATTTAATATATCATTTTACTTTCGGAAACTCAGATCAGAAGCGATTTTGATAACAATACTGGGCGTTCATTTCATGATTTTCATCACCTTTGAAACATAATTCGAAATTATTCTTTTTCATCTTTGATATCAGCACCAATTAACCTTTGATAGAAACTGCAACGCAATACCACGATAAATAAATATTTCCCATTTGTAGTGAAAAATGTTCACCTACAAAAAAAGAAAAGAAAGTAAACGTTCCTGATTGATTTGTGAAAAAAATAGACACGGTTCCACAGTTGCTTGTCTTCCATTGAAGAGGGCCATTAAATTGTCAGAATAAATCATTTTTTTTCCTCTATTTATATGGCTTACATGACTTTCGCATTGCAAGTTAACTACACACAGCAAGGAAAGACATGCGTTATTTCAATCTTAAATTTATCTAGCTGAAGTCGAACTTGTACAAACGTACCATACCAAGCAAATACTAAGAATTGATCGACTTTTGAGTCATTTTCTTTCTTTCTTTCTTTCTTTCTTTCTTTCTTTCTTTCTTTCTTTCTTTCTTTCTTTCCCCCATTATATATATATATATATATATATATATATATATATATATATATATATATATATTAAGAAAAATATATACGGAAAAAACAAACAAAAATCCTTATATACAATTATGCAGTTTTAATGTTAATATGTCAACGTCGGACGTTTCAGTCTAATAAACCATCTTCAGGACATATTCATAAATATATATATATATATATGTATAATAATCAAACAAATCCTTTTACCTCATATGGGGAATAGGCTATTTCGGCAGACGACGAAAGCGGGACGTAGAAGTTAACTGTGAGGAATTGATATTGGAAGCTAATTTCTATACTACTAGGATCCACTAGGATTAGATATGAACGGATTTTTTTACCTTACTATATATATATATATATATATATATATACAGGGTGATTGAAAAGTAACTCCCTATTTAAAACTAATTATAATTCATGTATTTATTGTAATTTTTGTCTCATTTTTTGTGTTTGATCTTTAATGCATGAGAAATTAATTTGTTTTTGTTTGTCTTTTCAGATTGATTATTTTGTTTGAAATTTGGAAGCTCTACAAACATGGCTGAACATCTTGCCTTGCAGCAGCATGCCCAGTCAGCGACACGTTATAAAGTTTGGAAATCCGTTGTTCGAGAGCAAAGATAGTGAGGATCCTTAGAGGAAAACATGCTCAAGTTGATGCAAAGACAATCAAGAATTGTCATTCAAAACTCATAGCTACAGTGTCTGTAGCTGATGCACGAAGAAGCGGTCGCCTTTTTAAACCTGGCGACCAGGAGACAGTACAAACAATTAAAAAAGCTTTATATGTCGCCAAAGAAAGTCAATTCGACAGCTAATAAGGTAAAGTGGGCTCTCCTTTCAGACAATACGAACTTTAGTCAAGAAGGAGCTTAAATGGCATACTTGGAAGCCGCTTCTACTGCTAATTACTCTCCTCTGAAGTGTGCGGCATTCGCATGGAGGTTTGGGTAGTATATTCTGGCTTGGTATGAATATTGACCAGGACTCTTTAAAATATCCTCTGTAGCGGTATTCCACATCAGTGGGTTTGTGAACCGTCACAACTACCACTATTGGGCAGGCGAAGATTCTCTTGTTATCTCTGAAAAAAATGCAGAATCGGCCCGAAGGATTCGTGTGGTGTGGCATGACTTCAGACAAGATTATGGGGCCATTCATTCTTCGCAATACTATGAATGCCAAAAGGCATTACCATCCTGCAAAATTAAATCTGGTCAGTTATCAGTGATTGGGAGAATGTGGAAGATTTGATTTTCATTCAAGATGGCGTCCCTCCACATTTTACTATTGTCGTTCGTGAATGACTGAATGTCCATTTGTCCGGGAGATGGATGGGCCGTCATAGTCTTGACTGAACACATTGCGACTTTTTTCTTTGGGGTTGGTTAAAGGAGAAAGTCTATTATACCAAACCATAGACTTTGGAAGAACTTGAAAGGCGAATACAAGAAGTTATGTCTTCCATCCCACGTGAGTTCCTGGTGAAATCAGTCGACGAGATTCCTGGCGGCTCGAGAAGCTGATAGCGAAATCTGGTGCCCACATAGAATTTTAAATAAAAGCTCATGCTAAACGCCTTTCTCTCATATAAAAATGTAAAAATTATAGTTAATAAATTATAAGTATTTTAAAATGGGTAGTTGCTTTTCAATCACGCTGTATATATATATATATACGGTGGAGTAATGGATAGCGGCTTGGATTGTAGAATCGCAGAGTCGAGTTCGAATTCCAGTCGAATCCATTACATTCACTTACGTGCTAATACCCTTGGGAAAGGTATGAATCATCTTCCTCTCCCTCCAGCTATGGGTAAAATAGCAGGACAGATTGGGTTCTATAGCCTTGGATGGCAACTGGTCTAGGAGAAGGACAACCCTGAATTCAAAACCTGCGGAGGGTCGTTTGGGAACCTTGTGGCATTCGGTTACCAGGTCTCTGTATTCGTCCCTTCAAAAGTGTGGATGGTCCTGCACGGGGCCTTCACCACTATAATCAAATCTCATGTGCCGGTGTCGGGCTGTCGGTTTCCTGAAACTGATCTGCTTGACCCTCATACGTCGAATCTCGACGGGAGAGTCGATTATATATATATATATATTAATAGGACCTGGCAAAAGCAATATATATATATATTTATATATTAACAGGACCTGGGAACAGCAATTAAGAGGTGGCTCAAGCTCTTCAAACGCTCAATCTCCGACCAGAGGTCATGATGTCAGATATAGTTTATCATCATACCAGGTAACACACACACACACACACACACACACACACACACACACATATATATATATGTGTGTGTGTGTATTCCTAAATATGACGATAAACTACATCCGACATCATGACCTCTGGTCGGGAGATTGGAGCGTTTGACCTGAACACCTCTCTTAATTGCTGTTCCCAGGTCCTGTTAATGTCCCAGCGAGTGATCCCCCCAAACAAAAACACTATGAAAGTATAATAATAGATTTTCATAGTAAAAGTACCAGCAATACATTTTCATATAAAAAAGACCAGCAATACATTTTATCTCTAGTTGAAGGCATACAGTTGCCTTCTAAATATATCTATTTGAAGCCATAAAATTGTCTTAAAAATTATTTAGATTTCGGCATTAAATATCTGTTTGATATGCTGCGAAACAAAATCAACCAACCAACCAACCACACACACACACACACACACACACATATATATATATATATATATATATATATATATATATAAGCAGTATCAAAAATAATTTTCCAAATTTTGGAGACGGGTTCCTCACCCCATGACAAGGACAAAATTCCATATAAACATATGTCTGCAAACCTTCGTTTTTGAGTTATTAAGTTTAAAGAAATTTTACAGTAGATGGCGCTGTGTTGTCGTGTAGACTTGGTTACATTTGTCATTCGTATACATCTGTGGCTAGTCTGTCTTCAACGTTTAACGTGTGTAGGAGTGAGTTAACTGAGATGTGTTCCGTTTAAAAATGGCAGGATATTCATATAGTGAGCAGGCAGATATGATTTTTACATATGGCCTCGCGAATGGAAATGGACACGAGGCTGCACGGCTGTATCAGATTGCGTTTGCAGACCGAAGGCAACCGAGTCATCCAATTTTTGCTGATGTTTATTGTTACGTTGCTGAGACAGGATCCGTGGCACCACAAACTATGGATCGAGTAAGACCGAGATCCATTTGCATGCCTGACCACGAAGAACAGATTCTATAGGCTGTCGGAGACGATTCAGGTATCAGCACACGTCAAATAACCCCAGCATGCCGTACATGGCAAGTATTATATTTCAAGAGCAGCTCCTGTATCTGTATCATTTGCAACATATGCAAGCTCTTTCGCGGTCTAAGATAGATAGGACTAAGATAGATAGATAGATAGATAGATAGATAGATAGATAGATAGATAGAAGGATAGTGAACAGAATTAATGAATGGAACAGAAAGAAAAAAAGAAAGAAAAAGAAAGAATGAATAAAAGAAAGAACGAAAGCAATGGAAATTACTAAGTAATTACGAAAAAGGGAAAACTAATTTTGATATTGCGACATCGCAGTTTTCTTTCTTTTCTGTCCTTTGCTTTTAGAAACTGTGCCAACGTACTTGTTTTAAATGAACAAACTCTTGTTATGCCCGGTAACAACAAAAGATAAAAGAAGGGCTAATCGAGGTTTGGTTTAAGTTAGCTTAAAGAAGATTTTGCCACCATAGAAACCCGCTCTTTCCGTAAATGTGAAAAAAAGGCCATTGATAAAATTTAAAAATTTAAGTAAAACACTGAGAAAAAAACAAAAACAAAAACAAAACAAAAACAAAAACAAAACAAAAACAAAAAGAACTGCTGTACTTAATTTGATTGGCAGGTTTCTTGTGCCAATAGCCTAGTTGTAAATCAGAAGACAATATGCTGAAAGGTTCGGTGTTCAGTCGCGGTTTGTGAGTGTTGTTTTATTTAGACAATTTTTATTATGCAGAAAAATCTGGGAGGAATTTTAGAGTTTTCGGATTGAGCTCGGGGGGATAGGATTACAGACTGATATTGAAATATTGATCGTTCTACAAACTACAATTATTAATGCTATTAGTGAGAATAACCGTTTCCATTCATAAAAACATGCGACATTTATTGAGCGAACAGTTAGCGTTAGTTTCGGTTGAAATTTATAAAATATTTCTCTTAAAACAATTTTTCAGGAAAATAGGCTTCAATGTTATCGGACTTTCTACTATTAAAGAAGTTTCCTTCCAAACCTGTTGTCTAAGGTTGTGTGAAAACTTAACATCTAGATTATATATTCGGATTACATTATATTAAACAGTGCCGTTCAATAAAAGTGACTCACCTGATTTTTTTTACTAAATGTTCTCTTCTCCGATGAAACGAAAGTTGAGCTAAATTCAAAGGATAAGCGATCTAAAATCCGAAGAAGAAACTTTGAAAGCTCTTTGTATTTAGCAGTAAGTACTGTCAAGCATTCGTTCAGTATAATGTTCTGGGGATGCTTTTCTTTTCATGAAACTGGTTTCTTAAAACCTACTGAAAAGACTCTCAGGAGCGAACAATACAAGAGAATTTTAGAGTATTGTCCGCTCCCTTCTGCTGAAAGGGTGCAAATCGACTCCACCAAGCTCATTTTTATGCAGGATAATGCTCCCTGTCACAAATCAAAATTGATGAAGGAATACTTTGATGAAAAGCAGGTGAGTGTTATGACATGGCCGCTCCAATCTCCTGACTTCAACCCCATAGAAAACTTATGGAGCATTATAAAGTACAGGCTCTCGAGAAAGCAGTTGAGCAACAAAGAGGATTTGATTGTGGATTTCATATCCGAATGGAATTCAATGCTTGAGGATGATATTTGCCAGAACCTAACCAAGTCAATGCCAAAAAGGGTTGAAAAAGTTATTCAAAATAAAGGAGGACCCATAGATTATTAAATATTTCGAACTATATTACCTATTATAAATAAATTATACCTCTATTATTCTTTATTTAAAGCTGTTCGGTTATGTTTCTATTGATTACTAGTTGCAGGAAAGAAGTGAGTCACTTTTTTTTGCACATAGTTTTTCCCTAAATCTCATTTATATCCAAAATTATAATCAATAGAATACCTTAGGGTGAGTAAACTTTTTTACTAGGTGGTCAGGAAGTGATCTTTATATTAGTAAGATTAAAAATTAGTTTGACCCCCAAAACCATAGGCGAAAAAATTTTTAAGTAAAAAAAATCAGGTGAGTCACTTTTATCGAACAACACTGTATATTCTGGTTACATGCGTTACCCATTTTTGCAGTTGTTTGTTGTTGGAAAACTAAAAGTGATGTAGTTTTTGTTAATTTGATTTATTATTATATGCTCTGTAACTCGCTACCCTGATTGGGCCTTGTACAGGGTGAAAATCATTGTAATATATACTCGACTCTCCCGTCGAATTCGATGTATGAGGTTCAAGTAGATCAGTTCCTAGGAACCGACAGCTCGACACCTGCACATGAGATTTGATTCTAGTGGTGAAGGTTTTGTGTCTGGAACCATCCACGCTTTTTCAAGCGCCGAATACAGAGACCTGGTGCCCTACGCGCCACAAGGTCACCAAACAACTATATATATATATATATATATATATTTATATATATATATATATATTTAAACACACACAAAAACCTACCAAACTCCATACAAAATATACTAGTAGAAAATACAAGCATAATATCCACATGCATATGTAAAAAACGATTAAAAATAATGAGGACCTTAATAATAAAAAAAAAGAAAAAAGACAACACTCAATAACATTAACTAGGGCACGGCCACAATGTGCTGACCGTTTTTGGAAAATAAAACACTCCTATAACTCTAGACACATATATAACACAACCAATATATTCAGTTGAAAGTAAAAATAAAAACTGTCTTTGATAATGGCTAAAAATATGAATAAAAGCCCTCGGGTATGCAGAACCTTTGGACGTTTTTCATACACTTTGTGTCCAGAAAAGAAAACACTTGTACGAACAGAAGAAAAATAAAAAAGTTAATCGCAGTACTTTGTCTTCAACGAAACATGTATAAAAGAGGATTGCTGCCTAAATACACAATATATACATATATATATATATATACATATATATATATATATATATATATATATATATATATATATATATATATATATAAAAGTGGACATTGAAGTCAATACCCAGAGGCGACAGTCTGTTTCATGCTAAACGCACCCGTGAGGCCTTGCGTTTCCTTTATATTTTACATACGTTCTATCCCTGATATTGAGCACTGTAACCCCTAAATATACCAATCTGATATGGCGTACAGGCAGTTTATTATGTTTATTTCTTTTTCTTTTTGTCTCCTGCGGACGAAGTTTGTAATCAACTGGGCTCTTCCCAATTTATTTAAAAAAAAAAAATCTTATCTCACGGTCATTTTAAGACTATCTGTACTAAACACGAGGATATGATGTCTTATTCATTCTCCAGTCATTATTGACGTAACAAGTTTTCCCATATTTTTTGAACGTTCGTAGTATTATTCGTTTATACCAGAAAAATATAATGAATATAATAAAAGTTGCATCAGTTTTTATTTAATATTAATTTTGTAGAAATTAATATAAAATAAAAATTGATGCAATAGCCTTTTGATTTTCCGAGACATGAAATAGATAATTAAATATACCGTGTGTAACAACAAAATTTTTCAAATCGTGTAACAACGTGGGAAAATTATCCATCCCACAAAATGTTTCATACCTAAAAAAAAAATACACTAAACTGAGATTCTTTTTTCCAGGTTTTCATATAAAACGTTTAGTCATCTTGACACGATTTTTCGTAAGAATCACTGATAAACCCTTTGAGTTATTCAGCTAAAAATAAAGAATTACTATTATCCCAAGCCAAGATACATGACCACAAAAAAAAAAAAATAAATAAATAAAAAAATAAAAATAAAAAGGGTTAAATCCATAATCTCATGTTATCCAAAACATAACACAGAAATCAATCCCAATCCATGAGATCCGGGTTCGAATCTCACCATGGTCGATTTGTCAGGAAGAAGTCGATCTGGTAATATCGATCTAAGCTTTCGGCTCACATGAGCCATCATCAGAGTAGTTATATGGATATTACAGCAGAGATGTTCATCATCAAAAATTAGATCCTTTTTCGTTTACATAGAAGTTTGCTATACCACGATAACGATTGCGGAATAGCAGTCGCAGGTCATAAATTTGTAATGCAGATCTATGACCATGTGAGAGAAAGAAATGTATCAACAGAACCATGTGTTTAAATTCATTGTAATATGTTGTGACTGGTTTGAAATGTAGTTTTGTTGAGTGTGGGTTTGTCTGTTATATTCAACAATATATGTTTGAACATATATAGATACATAGATACATCTAGATAGATAAATAGATATCTCTAGACAGACAGACAGACAGACAGATAGATAGATAGATAGTATTTTAAAAATACTGGTGGACGCTGATTTGCAGTAAACTTTTACATTAGTTTTTATTTTATAACTATATAACTTGACCACAACAAATTAATAGAGAATTTCAAAAACTTTAAAAGTTTATAAATTATTCTAATTAAATTAATGAAAACAATTGTTGCTAAAATTCATTATTCATCGATTTTTTTTCTTAAGACAATAGTGACCATAGTATACTTTATTCATAAAGAAATTAAAATCATTTGTAATTTATATTGTAAACTTCTGTACCTGGAGTCCTGTTTGACCAAAAGAAAATGGTGATTTAATTTCTCCTAGGACTTTTCCTCATGTCTAATATAAATATTAAGCGCTACAAAGAAGATTTTTTCAAAATTTCATAAAACTAAATAAGTGTCGGGTGACAAATGTAAAAAAAAAAATATTTTTATCAAGATTTGCTAAAAACAGAAACGTTTTAAAAATAATTCCATTCATTTATGAATAAATCTTGAAAATTTGATCAAATGAATTTCAATATCAATGTGTTTTTGTAAGAAGAAGCTAAAATTTCCTGTACTAATTTATGGTACAACGCTGACACCAGAGAAACAAGATTTTAAACCAAAACTTAAAAGGTTCTAAAAGGATTAAAAACAACAATTTTCACATTAAAAATAACGTGGTCTTTCCTTTTAATAACACAAATATTTTGACTATTAACCTTTGTTTTTAATAAGTTTTGGTAACTTTTTCATAATGTATGCTAATTTTTAGCGAATTTGGATTCACTTACGTACTACAGTGCAAAGGTTTGAAGCCACCGCTGGTGATTTTTTTTTTTTAAAG